TAGGCTGTCTGCATGACCCCGTTGACGATGGAAACACCCTGCATCTCATCATGATCCTTAAAAAGCGAAATTGTGACAGGGTTTGAGTCATTCTCGATCGCAGTAAATTATGGTCGTCTAGCCAGCGGTTCCGAACATCGAGAAGGAACTTGTGGCATTTGATGGAGCTGTCAATAGCCGTCTGAATGATATGATGCAACCGCCATAGCACGCGCGTAATTCATCCCTCGAAACATGACACAAAGGAAGCGCTTATCGCAAAACTGACGTCGACAGTTACGCAGCACCCACGTGCGATCGAAGCCCTCTCGATGCCCAGAACCAGACTTACTCATCGGATCAGCGAGTGAAACTGGAGACGTAGTTTGACTGATCGTCGGATTGCCGGGACTGGGCTTGGGCGGGAACGCTTATCAGAACCCGCGATCGTCTATCATTTTTTATTTATTTTTTGCCTTTCGATGGTCCCGATGAGAAGGAAGATAGATATGTGGGGTTTTAGACTAACGTAGGGGGATCTTGATTGATTCATCGAAAGATTATCGGCCAGGTCAGCCCAGGTGTGGGATGAGAATCTGTTTGATCTTCGTTACGGAGGAATTAATCATCGAGATGTGTTTTAAGTAGACTGACTGACTGGTTGAGTCGAGTCGAGTCGTAGATAAAGACACACTGCACCTGTCTTGTCTCATCACGATCGATCACTAATACGAGTGGTGTCGCTCCGTTCAGCCCTTTGAAGGAACCGTTTTAAACTGGATTGATGGGGCCAGCCTAGAGTTTGAGATTGATAGAGCCATCCACATCGTGCGGACACAAAACGGTCACCCTTCAGTGGTGGTTTTGAGCAAATGCCCATGGCCATGCCACCCACAATTCCATGACTAGATTACCAATTGTCCATGCGCGACACACAACGAACACCCCCTCTGGTCGTAATATCATCGAATGGAAACTCTCTCAGCGTGTTGCTTAGTTAGTGTCGATGGGAAATGTAAGTGTTCCTGGGAGCTAGGCAAGACCCTTTGTTGTATCTTATGTACTGTAGATCGATCTGGAACACGCTCTAAAAATCCCGCCCTCATCAAGTGACGGAGCCACATCGAGATGGCGACGCCACCGGCCGAGATGCTCTACCAAACCTTCGATGGGCGTCCGTTTTGGTTATAAACAGTCAGGGAGTCCTCCCGTTCGGAGCTGCTCCTGGGAACCAATGGCCTTTCTCTGCACAGATATCGAGATGCTTGCTTTTTTCCCACATCGACATATCCGTATTCAAAGACAATTCTCGATTCCGCAGATTTAAGATGGAGGAATGGAAATGTAGCCAGCCTCGCCTCATCAATGCTGCAAGGGGATCGAGACGGAGATACTCTAGATCGGGGATATGAATGACCCTTTTCTTAATTGCCACCCCACGCCCTGTCCCCTCTGCTCCGTTTTATCATTTTGCCTATACTACAGTAGGACAGAACCTTACGCGTGTCTGTTTTATCTGATGCGATAGCATCCGATGCATGTGGTGCTTTGCGTTGCGTTGCGATGCCGCGGCAATTCTATCTCTCATGGAGCCCGACGGATGCGACGGATCGGTGTTTTCTTTGTCAGACCATCACGAATTGCTTGGCAAGCCGTGTCATGTCTAAAATCACTAACTGTCTCTAGCACTGGTCTTGAGGTTATTGCTGACTGATGGCTTTTTCTCTCTTGGTGTTCCGCTTCAATTGCTATTTCCGTCAAAAAAGAGGAAATAATGCCGCTCGCCATTTTAGAGTCAGAGTCAGACTGTTAGACTCAGAGTCTAGACCACTGGCTTGGCAGTCCCCTTATTCTTCACCTCTTTCTCACTGGCGTTTTGGACTGGGGGTGGGCCCCAAAGGGTCCCTGAAGCTGAAGTTTGATGAATGATCGACCCGCTTGGACAACCAAAGCTGAGCAACGTGTGTTTTGCATGTCACTAAATAAATTACAAAGCCAACCAAGCCAAACCATTCTCAGTAGTAAATGCAAATCTGTCACAGCCACGATGTCCTGACGAAGCCTTTTCTGTTCTATCCTATCAAACCCCAGCAAGCGCTGACAATATCAAGACAGTGTTGCATTGCAGGACTGCAGTCCCATGCGGGCTAGAATTCGTCTTGGCGGTCTCGTGCAGGAAATTGCATGGCACAAGTGAGACGTTGGAACCGTATTCCAGAATACGCCATCTTGCAGAGCTTGGATCTTAAAATGGACTTTCAAGCCACCGGCCCCGGTGATCCCAGGGCTGAAGAATTATGGAGCGGTGAATCCCTTTTTTCTCTCTTACAAATTAAGGGTCCTTTTGAAAGGGTCCGTCCGGTCTTGCTTACCACACGAGGAAGGCTCTAGATCTGGGCTTTTGTTTTACACGCTCAGGTTCTGGGCCAGAAGCTCGGCCAATATGACTGATCTGTTTCGGCCTGACTCTAGAAAAACGTCCGTGGTCTGGGCTAGGTTCCTTGATGCGGCAAAAGATGCCTGTGCTTGATGCATTGTAACTGAGCACTATGCAGCTGATTGCTTTCGACCAGATTGCATCCCGGGTACTGTACTCACGGAAGACCTCGATGTTTTTGAGTAAGCGAGTGTTTCCGCGTGATAAGCCCTCAGGTACTTTGTCAGTTATTTTATCAGTTATTCCATTTGACTCTTTTCTATCAGATCATGATGGAGCTCGGGCATGCCGATGCGGATCAGGCAGGGCTTGGCTTGGCTTTATTGATTTTCAGGGCAGAGTCGCAGAGGGTAAGTCAACAAAGATATTTGCATTGGTGCTTTTACTGTAGTCTCGGCGTCTCTAAACCATGCTGCTATTCTTGTCTGGCCATTGACTAAAAGTGTTGTTGTTCTGGCCAGTCGATAGACTCAATACTACGCCCCCGGAAAAGACCGTTATCGATCTCCCGGCATTCATTCATTCATTCATTCATTGATACATACAACGTTGCTTCAATTAAGCCCTTTTCCGCTCCTGCCGGGCTCCGAGCGTTCCTGGCTAATTCGAGAACATGTCACTTCTATACGATACCCCAGCGCGCACTATGCCATTCTCTACTTCGGGGTCTCTCAATCGCCCTTATCCGTTGCGCCTCGTCGTTGCACCAATAGCGAAGCGCAGTGGCACAGGAAACCTTCGCACAGTCATGCAGTCCTATTGGGTGAATTGGTTCTCGAGAGCGTGGGAAACTCGTCGGGAATACCCAAGATCAGCACAGCGACGTTCTAGACCCTTTGGATCCATGGGTTGCGTGTCCTCGTGCCCTGAGCCACAGTTCTTGGCTTCGTAGGCTTTGGTCCGGTGGTCTAGAACGTGTTACGAGTGCTACTGTGGCGCCCTCTTTTGGCGGATGCGACGGGAGGGTAACTTAACTTACCTTATACTGTAGCACAACGGTTTTGTTGTGAAGCCCGAGAGATCAGAATGACACGATAATGACAGGGGAGGGGGGGCAGTTGCCATGCGACGAGGGCGGTTAAAACGGTGTTTGTGATTGAGGTCACGCGAGGCCTGGCGCGAGTTAATTTTTGTGTCTCGGGCGTTTAAGGGCTGCAACGAAATGACTGATTGCTCAATCTTGTGACCTTGAACTGTCCAGGCTTGCCAGGGTACGTGTTTCGAGAGACGCTGTCGTGGCTGGGTTGGTTGTACTGTACTCATGCAGGGTCTTTGTCTCACACCCTATTCTTGCTCCGATATTGACGATTTGAGTTTGCTAGGACTTGGTGTCTCGGTTTGTCAAACGGCGCAGTTGGTCACTGGCATTGGGTTTGGTATTGGGTCTTGTCTGCGAGTGTTAGGCAGTCAAGGGCATGCATGATCATTTATGAGGCCATTCCAGGGACCAGTTCCGTAAGATACGGTGTCAAGCACAGCAGCGCGACATGAATAGATGTTGTTCACATCTATAATTCATCTCTGTATGGCTTATAAGTCAAGCCGAGCGAGCGCCGATCATCTCCGTCTGGGGCAAGTCTGCCGAATTACCCTACAGCATTTGTCAGGTACCAGGGGCAAACTTGGAAGCTCTTTGTTCCTGGAAACCTGTTTTAGGGAATGTTTTATACATATATATTGCTACTGCCTGTAGTTTGCTGATCCATGTTTGTCGTTCTATAGGACTGCTTGCCCCAGCGCTTCTCTGTCGGGTGTTGAAGCGGCTGAAAGGGCCGTCAAGATGCAACAACCTCAGTGGTTGGCTGGCTGCCTGCTCTCCCACAGCTGCCTGGCGCATTACGTGGACATGCATTCGAACTCACCATCTCAACACCACAACTCAATCACAATAAAATATCGGCAGAATGAGTAAAGAAATGGATCTCATTGATACCATGTCCATGGCTTCCACCGTCGATGGCCAAGGTACGCCTACACACACAACGACAACCGAACACTGCAGAGATTACACCGAATCCGTTCCCTATCCCGGAGCAATCTTCATCATTCGTCATCGTGACTCAGGCAAAGTCATCACCATCGTCAACGGCGACCTCCGACTCTGTGAAGGCTTCAACCCGAGAGGCGGCTTTCACTGGGAGTGTATCGAACGAGACAGATGGCTCGGCTTCCGAAACTGTGTTTCTGGGACTATCATCGGCCACAACGAGAGGAAGAAGTTCATCGCGCGAGTCGACAAGCACCAGGCGCACGAGTACTTTACACTTCGACCGAGTCCACAGGGCGGTTATGAGCTCTTGATGAGACATGGCCAAGAGTTGTGGAGTATGGCTGTTGGAGATGATGGGAGTGAGTTGGTTGAAGTGAGGGGTGAAGGTGCTCTATGGGACTTTCTGAAGACTTGATGATGTTTTTCTTGGATCTGATGGAATGATCTTGATTCTTGTCTTAGTTATGATATCGTGCCTCTGAGCTCTGACACATAGCCGCGAATACCCTCCTTTTCTTCATCAGTGAGAGATATCTGGAAATACTTCTCAAGAGCTTCTATACGTTCCTCTTCCGCGTTACAAGTGGTGATGATCTATGTCTTTCCGCCGAGATTCTCTTTAACAACTCCATTCACAAGCATTCTCTTTCCGTAAATCTCCATCTCCCCTTCGAAGCTCGCTTCAGTATCCACAGGCCGAAGCAGAAACTTGATAGTCAACACATTGCGTGGCTGATGGCTATCCGCGTGAGTGTTAATCCACCAGTTTACAACATCCCAGTCCAAAGCCAAGAACTCGATGCCCGGAAACGAGTAGAAAGAGTTCCACTCCATGTCTTGACCGTTTCGATACTGATAGATCCAGAGTTTGGTCTCTTCTGTCTTGTGGACTTGATGAGGTATCCAATCTTTCTTGAGTCGGATTTGCTGGGTTCCAAGGTTCTTGTGTACGAAACCGTCGACGAGTGGCATTGGCATCGTGGCGCCGTCACCTCCGAATGCTACATCGGAATGATATTTGCTGCCATCGGGGAAAGTGATGATATTCACGATATGGTTCCTTAGTGTCTGGTCAGTGTCTGATTGATGCTACTGAAATGATAAGAGTTTCCAAAATGAATATGATGTTGTTTCTACATTAATATCTTTTCTTCTAGTGTCTTGACGTGTAGACTTGATTGTTCGTCTAATCCCAACAACTGAGATACAGTAAGCTACTCACCAGCCTGGATAGTCCCCTTTTGGAACACCCTCAAGTCTCCCTCGAGTTCGTACCCCAGCAGTATATGCATCGAATCCTATAGCCCGAAGAATGTGGTTGTACAAGATCGCAATCTCCATACAGAAACCACCGCGGCCACGTCTATCAGTCACCATCTTTCGAAAAAGATGTTGAGGATCGAGGTCGATACTATGAGTGGAATTATAGTGCAGAGATAGGTTTTCATACGGGAACGTAGCGAGCGAGTGAGTGTGCAAGGCTTTCAAGAGCATCAATGAAGGCCGAAGGTCTTCTCGCAGCGCTTTAGGAAGACCGATGTGGCCGAAGAACTGCGAAACTTGCTCCTGACTATATGCTGAAGCCATTTTGTGAGACAATGTAGTCGGTGGAGACTGGCTACTCTTAAGATGATTCAACGCTTCTTTTAAAGCAAAGTTGGCGGTGAGTCATTTCTGGCCCGACTTGATGCCGTGCTTCTGCAACACCACACGCTTGCTAGGATGCCTTGGAAGCCTAATTGACCGTAAGGCCTTATCAAAATATTAGTGTATTTCTGGACAGCCGATTCTAAATCCTTTCCGAGAGTGAAACTTAATTCGAGCTGGCCGAGCTCCGTCTTAACCCTCTCAACTTCTCGGCTAGTCAAAAATATATCCCAAATGCATCGAGAAAAGTGTTTACTGTTCTTGAATGCCTCCTATATCCCAGGAGGTGCTCTGTTCATGAGAAAATAGTAGGCGAGAATTATGATCGATCTGGCACTATAACTTGAGCTCCCCATCTAGAAGTAGATCTTTTATAAACGCAACGACTTTGAAATCGACGCACGAGTTACAGATACTCGAGGAAAGAAGAAAGAAATCCCTTAGTTTATGAAAGCTTTGTTACTTGATTGCGCTTGATAAAGTCTTACTAACCATTTGGATAGTTAATGATATGGTAAAGATGTCACTATACACCCATTCCCTTGTATATTATCAAAGGACAGAGGAACGGGACTGAAAAGCTCGTAGAGTTGAAGGCCAGATAACAACTCGTTCATAGTTTGACTTGCGCGAACGACCAGCTTCGGCGTGAAATTGCTCCAAGTCAGACGTGTTTCCCCATAGCGACGTACGGCCCTTGCCCGATATCATTCAATACGCGTCAACCGTGAAGGCACTGCCGGCACCATATGTCTGATTTCTATCTCTAGCGGTCTAGTCTCGTAGAATTACTCAGCTTCATTGTCAGATTCGTAGCCAAACAAAAGGCCTACCTAAGTGCCGAGATTGAAGTGCCTTGTCATGAACATAGAGGAATGCGTCTGATCGTAAGCCTTTAGCTATCACCTAGATTGTTGGGGAAGCGGCCCTGCAGAGATTTTGAGTCACCTTGCACAGAACGAGGTAATGTGAAGGTGCCCTTGGCTCCTATCTTGACATTGGACATGAAACTGAAGTCATGCCCAATCGCAGTTTCCATCACCTCCTTGGATACAGACCAACCAAGATCTTTCGAACGGGAAATCACAAAGCCAAAATGTGCTAAGCTATAGAGATATACAACTATAACGTGCTCCTGTCATCCAACAGTCATGTATCGTGATCCTCAAGCGCTTCTTTGGCATTTCGACTTTGTTGATAGCGCTTCATATCCAAACTGATTTGACGAGCAGCAATTTCTCCTCCCATCAAAGCAGCTTTTACGATTTTATACTGAAGATCTAGGTCGGCTCTACTCACTCGGTATCCGTGTAGACCTAGATTAGGGTCCACGGTTCGGGTGGTGATCAGGGATGATTCAAAGTATGAGATGGATCCAGGACCTTAAACAGCTTTAGCTACAAGTTCTGGCCAGATTAAGCTGGCTGTATGAGTATTGTACTTCTTGAGATGGCCATCGAGAGAGCTTGCATCGCCCGTAATCACTCAGTGACGAAGGACCAGTGGCAATGCGCTCATAAAGAGCGCGTACTGTTGTCGTACTCAGGAGGCGAGATAGAGACCATGGATAACCTTTCAGTCGGCCTGTGTATGCTACAGAGTTCTAAAATCAGTGGGAGAGAAGTAAGATCTATATAAGACGTGGTAGAGAAGACAAGATGCTTAATAAATTTGCTACACAATTACTGCTGGATAATGGCCTCCACCTCAATCTCGACAATCATACCAGGAATACCCAACTCTGTAACGCCCACACAAGTCCAGGTTGGCTGATGATCAGGCATCCACTTGCGAAACTCCTCAACCATGAGGTCGAAAGAGCCCGAGAGGGAGATGTGATAGCTTCTGACGGAGTGAACGTCTGCCCAACCCCTTGCACCAGCGTCTTTGAGGTTCTTCTCAACGTTCTTGAACGCAAGGTCAATTTGACCCTTGAGATCTTCTTTGTCGATGTTGCCTTCGCTGTCCCATCCGCCTTGTCCGGAGCATTTGATGGTGTTGTCGATGCGGACAGCTTGTGAGTAGGAGTATTCTTTGTTGTTGGTCTTTCCGACACCTTCGTAGTTGTAGTAGGTGAGATGAGACATGATGAGAGCCTATTTGTGTAAGGCACCGAGATAAGACTGATAGGGAAGTTGGAGGCTTACTCAGAGCTGAGATTTGTAATTGAGAGATACAGATCTTCGAACAGTCGCTGTGTTTGATGCTCGTATTAGAGGTACAGTTGCCCTTATGTACTACATAGCATGATACACAATGCCACCACCCAAGATCTTGGCGCATGGCCATGGTGATCACAGAGCCTATCATGAAGATTTCACGTCGGCCACCTCGTCATGCCACAACGACCGAGTGGTCACCTAACATTCCTATTCCAGTTTGACTCCCTCATTCTTGAGAGCTGTAATTCCCTTTCCCCGCAGAATTGCCTAGAAACATCCCAGATGCAGTATGAGATAAGACCTACCTGTGGATTGCAAGAGGCCCAAAAAGTTACCCAAAGGAGGATAGCCCGCGTTCCCCCCGCATCGTGGGGTTGTAGATATCGTTAGTGTTCCCTCATTCTGGCCTGAATACTTTCCTGGCTTGAACAGGGACATGATGAGAGAATGTATGAGGAAAGGTTTGGGGCCAATTGAAGTGTTATCAGCTGAATGTGCAGCGGAGTTGTCATGATTGAGTGAACCCCGCAAACATGGATGGACGCGATGGTGTCTTAGTTGGTAGTTTATTGGGCGTATGAGCCCCGAGCCCGAGAACAGCTGCCGTCATTTGATGCGTCGCACTTATTATAAATAAAAGATCATACCCCATCCTTCGTCATTGCATATCCTACATCCAGACTCCTATCATTCTGTCTTCCCCGGCTTGCGTCTCTTGCATATCTCACAATGGCATCAACTACTACGTCAATCACATTGCCCAACGGCAAGAAGTACGACCAGCCCACAGGTCTCTTCATCAACAACGAGTATGTCGCTGCTTCAGGCGACGAGTTCACAGTGACAAACCCAGTGTAAGCTCCCAGTAGCCCTCAACTCTCCAATTGAACGGGAACTCACACGCCCTAGAACCGAGGAAGAAGTCATCAAGCTAAAGGGAGCTTCCGAAGAAGATGTCGACAAAGCCGTTCAAGCTGCGCGCAAAGCTTTTGAAGGCGAATGGTCAGAGCTCGCTGCTGTAGACCGCGGTGCATTCCTCTACAAGCTTGCTGATCTCATTGATCGCGACCGTGAGCTCATCGCTGCTATTGACGCCTTTGACAATGGCAAGGTATGTGTCAATGCTCCTTAGTCCAAGTGCATCGCTGACGCTGTCGCTAGCCTTTCAGCGCTTGTCTCGCTGGCGATCTCGACGAGTCGTACAATGTCTTCCGATACTACGCTGGTGCCGCCGACAAGATCAGCGGCAAGACAATTGAGACATCTCCCGCCAAGCTCGCATATGTCCTCCAAGAGCCTCTTGGTGTCTGCGGACAGATTATTCCATGGAACTTCCCTTTCATGATGCTCGCGTGGAAGGTCGCGCCCGCGCTGGCCTGTGGTAATACCGTCATCCTCAAGCCCGCCGAGCAGACACCTCTGTCTGCCTTGTACTTCGGTAACCTTGTCAAGGAGGCTGGTCTCCCTGCTGGCGTTGTCAATGTCCTGCCTGGTCTTGGTCCCCAGACTGGAAAGGCTATTGCCGGGCACATGGACATTGATAAGGTTGCGTTCACAGGCAGCACCAATACTGGTAGGGCTATCATGAAGGATGCCGCGAATAACCTGAAGAACATCACGCTTGAATGTGGTGGTAAGAGTCCTTCAATTGTCTTTGCGGATGCAGAGCTGGAGCAGGCTGTTAAGTGGTGTCACTTTGGAATCATGGACAACAAGGGCGAGGTGAGCTCCATAGCCCAGTGGACAGCGATATGGATACTGACAGCGTATATCAGGTTTGCACATCCACCTCGAGAATCTACGTGCACGAGGACATCTACGAAAAATTCCTTGAGAAGTTCGTCGCGGTCACAAAGGAGAATGACAAGCTCGGCGCTCCCTTTGAAGAAGCAACAGTCCAAGGTCCTCAAGTCTCCAAGACCCAATTCGATCGAGTTATCTCATATATCGAGGAGGGACGCAAGTCTGGTGCTAGACTCCTATATGGTGGCAGCAAATACGGCGACAAGGGCTACTATCTCCAGCCAACAGTCTTTGCAGACGTAAGTTTCTCCCTCAACAATACCAGAAGGTATTCTGACTCGAGTAACAGACTACCGAGGACATGAAGATTATGAAGGAAGAGATTTTTGGTCCTGTTGTCTCCATTGCCAAGTTCTCGACAGACGAGGAAGCTATCGCCAAAGCTAACGATACATCCTACGGTCTTGCAGCTGCTCTATTCACCGAGAAAATCTCACGGGCACACAAGGTCGCTCGCAAACTTCAGGCTGGCATGGTTTGGATCAACTCGTCTGGCGATTCACACTTTGGTATTCCCTTCGGCGGATACAAGTCGTCTGGAATTGGTCGCGAATTGGGACAGTATGCGCTGGATGCCTACACTCAGTCCAAGGCCATTCATGTCAACCTGGGATTTGAGCTGTAGGTGAAGCTGTGCAGAGACGTTGATATGAGATAGCTACAATGATACCATTTATTACGTGACTGATGGCTAGGTTTTGCTGAGTATTTGATGATGTTGCTACTGTCCTATCTAGCGCCGGGCATGAGATTGCCTATCAGCATAGTGAGTGCTTGTTCTCTAGCTCGGTTATCTTCCGATGGATCCCCAACATATTTTTGTAAGAGTGAGACCTTGGACTCCTTAAGTTATCAGCATCCTTATCTCAACCACCCAATTTAAAAAACAGGCAAGTCAGTGACTCGGAAAGTATCTATCGTGCCGTGATCGGAGTCAGCACATACTACGTGGGAACAGGACCAGACGAGCCAACGCTCGGGTTCTGTTTCCTCTTTATCGCATCCTAGCCCCATGACCGGATTTCGGACCACCTTATCGGATGAGCGATCTCCGCTTTATCAGTAAAGCATGTAATTTAATTCGTTGGAGGCTTGTCAGTGGAGAATGACTACAAGCAAAAGGGCGTCCAAAAGATACCTGATAACATCGGCATGCGTGTGTCTTTGGCCGAAATATTGATTTATATAAATGATAGTATGCAGGCTTATCTGAGATATACTCTGGATACGATAAGCCTAATAACACATTCGAATTTAACATACTGCTCCTTACCACGCAAATAGTCCCCTTTCTACAACAACAACAACAACAACATACCATTGCTACAGTCACAATGACCGTCACCGACCCTGTCAGTCCAGATGCCATCAGGGCAATGTTTGCCTCTGCCCTTTCGAGCATGTATAGACGTGAAGTTCCCCAATACGGCACACTCCTCAAGCTTGTATCCGACATCAACCACCAAAAACATCAACCCATCGAACCCCGTATCGAGGTTGAACGCCATGGAGCCATCAGACTTGGAACACCAGAAGAGCTAGCAATGATGCGGCGATTATTCGCTGTAATGGGCATGCATCCTGTTGGATACTACGACCTCACTGTCGCCAATCTCCCAGTCCACGCAACGTGCTTTCGACCTCTCACACAAGAAGCCCTGGCTTACAACCCTTTTCGGGTATTTACATCTTTATTGCGGCTTGAACTCATCGAGGACGAGACACTTCGGACACAGGCTGCCGATATCTTGCGGAAACGCAACATCTTTACAGATCGATGTGTGGAACTGATCGAAATGTTCGAGTCACAAAAGTCTTTCTCAACAGAGGTTTCAAAAGAATTCATAAAAGAAGCCCTCGAAACTTTTAGATGGCACAAAACATCAACAGTTGACATGAAAACATACAAAGCTCTTCGAGAAGCACATCCCTTGATTGCAGACGTTGTCTGTTTCAAAGGACCTCACATCAACCATCTCACGCCCCGGGTCCTCGATATCGAAACAGCACAAGTTGAAATGCTTCGATATGGCCTCCAAGCCAAAGACGCCATTGAAGGACCTCCACCGAGACTTTGCCCTATCCTCCTTCGCCAAACAAGTTTCTTAGCCCTTGATGAAGCGATTGCTTTTTCAGAAGGAGAAGAAACTGGAGGCAGCCACAAGGCGAGATTTGGAGAAATTGAGCAGCGAGGAATGGCTTTGACGCCCAAAGGAAGACGCTTATACGATGATCTTATCAACGAGTGGCGAGGGTCTGTAGTCGAGCTCACATCTGATGCCAAGTCTGGTTCGAAGGAGCAGATTCTTGCAGAGGTTTTCCAGAAGTTCCCTGATGATTTGGAAACCATTAGGAGAGAGAACCTCGCATACTTTACATACAGCCCTACTCCTAAGCTATCAAAAGACTCTGATGTAAGCATCGACAGTCTTGTCAGCTCCGGGGCAGTTAAGGCTGAGCCGATTACATATGAGGATTTCTTGCCTGTCAGTGCAGCTGGGATTTTTCATTCAAACCTAGGCGAAGATGGTGGGTTGAGTCATGTCGCAGAAGCGGATCAGGAGTTTTTCGAGAAGAGTCTTGGATGTCAGGTCAAGAGGGAATTCGAGCTGTATAGTGAAATGCAGGAAGTGTCGATTCGAGGATGTCTGGAGACATAATGGGTTATGAATGATGATTCTGATGAATTTAGCGACTTATGGAAGGATATAATGATATGAATATGACTGTTTAATTCCAAAGAAGAGCTCTTGAAGTATATTGATGTAGTTATTCAATGGTCCAAATCATTCGACAGGGTTGATCGAGGTTAGATCTTCGCTGACGGCCCCCTTGCGTTCGAACTCCTAGCATCAACCTCGATTTCCAGCCTCATACCCGGTAGAGCCAACTTCGCAACGCCCAATACAACACCTCCAGGTCTATTATTAGGAATTCGCTTCTTGAGGGCCTCAGCTAGAGGAGACAGTGTGGCGTCAATATCGGTATGATAGCTGCGTATGTAGTAGACGTCTTCCCATCCACGAAGACCAGCTGCTTGGAGAACATCATCAACGTTTTGAATTGTCTGTTCAGTTTCCTTGTTGATGTTGGTGGGTATTTCGCCCATGGAATTCCAGCCGCCTTGGCCTGAGACTTTGAAGTGGCCGTTGCCGAGATCTACGGCTTGGGAGTAGTGAACGGCATCAGAGAGGGTTTGGGTGAAACCGGGAGGAGTGGTATATTTTACTGAGGACATGTTCTAAGGATAAGAATAGAGGTATGTTGGGGATTGGGAAGTTTGTATTGAGACAACTGAGAATGCCTTGAGTGGTGTTGGGAGAAGAAGGCAGTGTGATGCATACAAGTTGTTCAAACGAGGCCGTCACAAGTTTATATACATCTAGATCAGATAGCGTTGAAATGAGTACAGCCCTCTTGAATTATTAATTTAAGACGCTGTTAATACAGCCATTACACGGTAATTGTACGATTGAGGACTTGTTATTGGTCTCGGCCCTCGGCCGGCTGGGATAACCGTGCATGCCGTGTCGGCGACTCCATCCCAAAAAGCAGTATCCATCGACAGAAATGGTAATTTTGAGAGAGAAATTGGTCGCTTATATTTAGTGTCTTTCTAAGCCTATGCTTGAAACCGGTCCAGGGGTGCTTAAGACTCCAAAGCTCGGGTCAAGATGAAGCTGGTTACCACCACAAGTATAGGCTGTAAAATGATATATGAAAATTTGGGTTCTTTTATCAACAGAAGGGTGTACTAGCCAAGTGCTAAAACGACTTGTGATGATGGCGGTGAAATCTCATGCAGCCATGCTTTTTTTGTTGACATGCATCTCGAGGCTGAGGTCAGGATGGGGCAACTGCTTTAACTCCTCTATCTACGTATCTGTGCTACTGAATCTACATGGCTAGCTCGAGAAGGATACTAGTGAACAAAGCAGTAAACAAATTCAAGAGCCCGCTTTTGCTACTACCCAATGCTTGTGCACCATTATCATCCTTTCCACTTCCGTTGCTTTGACCAGAGGCCTCTCCAGTACTAGATGGCACTGAGGTACCATCTGTCCCATACCTGTTGCATCCACACCTGCATCGGTTGTTTTGCTGGGTATCGAGGTCAAACTCGTGGTAGGTTTCACAACAGCCTCAGCAAGACTACTGCGGGCCTTTTTAACATCCAAACCACAAGGCTTCGGTTTCGGCGAGGCGTCTTCGGCAAGAATGGGACAACCAACTGTATGATTGCGTTCCACCTTGACCGCAGTGCCACCAATAGCGCAGCCGTCGTACTCGGCGATAGCCTTACGTGCCGTCTTTGCGCCAGGGCGAAGAGTAAAGGATACGTTCCCAGCTCTTTCAAACTGATTGTTCTTCAAGAGAAGACTGCCATCTTTACGTGGCTTGCAGACAGTGGTCCAGCGCAGATCCCACTTGAGGATACAAGAGTCTTCTTCGCCACGCCAGTACTGAAACTGATCACCCTCGTCAGCATCGGTGATTGCTTTGCTCGTGTTGAGAAAGTAATATGGTTCTGAGTCTGGTAGAAAGTCTAAGTATAGTCGACCGACGCCGAATAGTGTATATGCACAGTTAAGTTCCCAGTTGAGCGTGCCGCTGAAGGTCGTCAAGACTGGGGCGTTTTGAAGGCCGAAGATGACAGGGAATGGTGCTTCGACAGCGTATGTATCTTCCCGAGGAAACACGATGTCGACTTCGCCGATGGCGGGGAACGAAACAACATCTTCGTCGGAGGCAGCTGCCAAGACTGAGAGGCATAGGCTGATAAATATTGGCGGAAAGGCACGCATCTCAACGTCGCCGGATCAATAGAAAGAATAAGCTTGAATGAATGAACAGCCACTTCTACTATCGACTGGGGAGATAAGCAGGTACTTAAGCTTCTTGTGGGATCGTGAGCCATAAAATGACCTAGTCAGCCCTTCTTGAGCATGGATCCATCCTTGTTCATTGCATTCAAACCAGCACGATTTAGGGATCAGCTGAAAACCATGAAACAAGTCGGACGTCTCGGTTTTAATTGCGAAGGGTAATATTTACCAATCGTTCCTAAAGTTAGTTCGTCACATGCGATTAGTCAGGAAAACGTGGCCGTTTAATTGAGGTGCAAAAAATAGAAGGTGCGCCTTCCTGGATCGTGAATCACGGTACGTGACTAATAACCTTATCGTCAACCTTATATCGAGTGTAAGTTGGCTCAATGGCGACTGGGCCTATACACCAACAGCGAACCAGGCAATGGGCTCCTTGACTTGCGTTTCCGAAGAGATTCACTGTGGTGATGAACCATCTGTTTGCTGAAGATGAATGACACTAGTCCTGGCCTGCCATTTGCAGTTTTGCAAAATTGAAGGGCTGGGGCTGTTACACCGGAGTTTGATCGTGAGATGCATCGAATTACGCCTGGCAACGTGGCGGAGTGGTTATCGCGACAGCCTCGAATTACCGTAAGCTGTTTCCTTCGGGAGCGCAGGTTCGAATCCTGCCGTTGTCGATGTCTTTTTGTTTTTTGCTTCTTTTAGTGTTTTGGTTCCTCAAGAGCATATCACCACTACATACTGCAGGTTTGTCTCAGTATATTAGCGGAGAGATTCAATTCGCTTACCTGCAATAGCCTAAATGGTTCCCTCTTTAACTATGTTCTGAGTTTGTCCGGTATAGTCGGTGTCCTGTGTCCGGCATCTTACATCCGGCAGGTCGCACAACGAACACCGATGTTGTCGGCAGAGTGATGTCGGAAGAAGTTGAAGACGAAAAGCGAGAATCACGTGTGAACACACAAGGGACTCGTGCTTTTATAGATCAGATCTTGTTTATCTGACTTTGTCTAAAGTACTCAGGGATTGTCACTTATTGTCACTGGTTAGTTACGATGAGCTTACAACGATTTGGCCTTGGTGCCATGAGAGGTAAAATACTACTCGAACTCAGATATAATTGCGATAATCTTACTGATTCTTGTCAATAGGCACCGGACGACCGGGTGTCTTCTTCAACCAGAGCGTCCCGAAGTTGGCTTTGGCCCGTCTGTTGTCCCAGCAAGCAAGGTGAGTTCCCATTTTCAACACCCTCGTGGTTTCTCTCTAACTCCCTATTGATCTTCCTCCAGAGAACGCCCGGCGATTGTTCACATGAATCAGCAAGAGGGCCACGACATTCTCGTTAAACAACGTCTCAACCGCCCCGTCACTCCAAACCTCACAATCTATAAAGTCGAACAAGTCTGGTTCAGTGCATCAGCATGGACTCGAATAACAGGTCTTGCTGTAGGTGGTACAGCTTACCTAACTCTATGCGCCCATGCCGTCGGTCCTTATCTGGGAGTGGGATTTGACTCTGCTGCTTTGGTGTCGGCTTTTGGCGCGCTGCCTTTCGCTGCCAAGGCCGCGATCAAGTTTGGACTGCTGGGGTTTCCGTTTACATATCATTTTATCAATGGTATTCGACACTTGGTGTTTGATCTGGGGTTTGGATACAGGAAGGCTCAGTTTAAGAAGTCAGAGGCAGCTACGTGGATACTGAGTATTCTTGGTGGTCTTGTCTTGGCCTTCTGGACCTAGATGCTTAGATATTTCCATTGCCAAATTGCATTATAGAACTATTCCCATTCCCTTTGCCCATCCCTCTTGTGGTTTAAGTGGCGTGAAGCTTGATCAACAAAAACGTTTTCTTTTTATAGTGAAGCTATAAACAGTTATACAAAGTTTTATATAGACAATGAACTTAGTTCCAGACCAAGCAGGTACTTCTCCAACAGATCGCATATCGCTTACTCAGACTCATCACAACATCTCCTGACTTCCCAGCGTCGTCGGTAAAATCGGGTAGATCGGCTACACGGTATTCTAGCAGTATCTACACCCGTAGATCCAACCGGTCGTATCCCGGATTTAATTCACCGTAGGAGTGATTGCCTTACTCGTCAATCTTGGCCGGAGGTGTACCTCCAGGAGCAGCGCCAGAGGGAGCAGATCCGCCCATACCGCCGCCGGAGTTCTCGTTGGCAACACCTCCCTCCTTGTAGTAGTAGGCAGCAGGAGACACGGAGCTGGACTGGGTGGAGTTGATGCCGAAAGCGAGCCAAGCGAAAAGACCATCATTGATGCTATCGCCGAGAAGAGTGTACTCCATGACGGGGTCGACACCATCGGTCTTTGTCTCTTCGCTCATAATGCCATCATCCTCGTTGAGGGTGAGTTCCTGGGTGTTGGAAGCATAAGGCTCGAGGGTTTCGACTTGGGAGATGAGGTCTTGGTCGAAGAAGGCTTGTCCAACGTGGCTGGCGTAGTTATCTCGTCCCAGGGTCTGGTTGGCGAGGAGAGTCGCGTTGGCATGAACCATGACGTGGATATGAGTAGCACGGCTGGTGTAGTGACCAGGGAAGATAGACTCGAACTGAGCAACACCATCAGAGTCGGTCTTCTGAATGCCTCGAAGCCAAGTGTTGTCAATGTTGGTATCATCAGAACTATCGCCATTGCCATTGGCAACGATACCAGAGTACACGCCAGTGGAGTTACAGTGCCACATCTCCAGGTAGACATCGGGGACAGGGTCGCAGGTTTCGACGTCGATAACCTGGTAGTCAAGGACGATGCTAAGACCCTCTTGATCTTCAATGATGTTCTCACGAACGTATTCGCCGGCCACGTCTGGATTATTTTAGCCAAAAGTCCCTGAATCCAAAAACGGACATTACTTACAGTAAGGACCCTGAGTGACTTCGGGGGTCAAAACGCAAGAGTTGATGCTGGCAAACAGGACCGAAGGGGCAGTGCATGGGCTGAAGCCTTGAGAAGTCTTGTTGTGAGAAGTGTTCAAGACGGTATCAGCATCGCGCTTCTTCAAGCTTCGCTTCTGGCGAGCCTTGTTGACCTGGGCCGAACGGCGGGCGATGTTGCGAGCCTCAATACCACGAGCTCGAAGCTTTGAGGCGCAGTGGGCGAGGGAAGATCGCTTGACAGAACTGAGGAACTCGCGACGTTCGGCGGCTTCGTGAGCAATATCATGTCCTGGATGGGCCGAGGCGATACTGGCCGCGAGGGCGAAGGTGGTGAGAAGGGTCTTGAAAGAAGGCATAGTGATGATTTCAAGGATAGTTGGTATTGGTTGGAGAACGATCTGGAAGAGACTGGTGCGAGTGATGAGGGTATCGAGATTGTGATTCAATTGCAGAAACTCATTCTTTATATCTATCGTGAAGCTCCAATTCCACCGCCTCTCAACCTCAACAACAACCCACATACCGAGTGGCACTGAGGCTGCATATTCGCATTGTCGAGAGGCGCATGGACACGCTGTGACGCGTTAATGTTACGGAAAACAACCAAAGGGTTAATTTTTCCGACTAAAGCTGCCAAGCTAAGAATGAAGCATAGACGGCACCTAAAAAGCACTGCCGAGGTCTAGCTTAGGGCCAGCCTATAGCGGAGAATGTAAAACGAGTCAGGCAAAAGAGGTGACGACGATTGGCTCACAAACGCGCAGGTCAAAGGAGACTCACGGGTTGTGGGGGTTTTGGTCGGGAGGTGGGAGCCCACATCGCGAGAGATCTTCACGATGTCGTTTGAAAATAGAGTAGGGAAATGCGTGTGCATGTTTCGTATTTGAAATTGGGGTTTCTCATTGGTTAAAAGCTTGAAGAGTATTTTCAAGCTTATACTAGAGTTGACGTATGTTGTTGGTGGTTTTCTAGACCGATGCTGCACGTTTCGTGATTAGTAGGTACTACAAACAGATGGGTAGATGGCGGTAGAACCGCAACAGGTTTCAACAGCTTTATTTTTCTGGATCTATGCCCCGTCGTCACTTCACCATGGTAGCCAAGAGCATAATCAAAGACATATCCGTGACATCTCACAGGAGCCATTAATTTCCTTTGGACATAGTGTTCCAGACTTCCGGCTTAGTTTTGGTGGCTTCGCAAATAAAAGCAAGCTTAAATGGTCGAAAGCCCCGGATGCGAAAGGATTGATAAACACCTGCCCGCAGCTTTATATTGGATCAATGGCTTTTCAAAAGCACAACATATTATACCAATCCCAAACGAAATAGTTGTAGGCAATGTGATCAATGCCTCAGAACTCTGAAGCTATCGAGCCCCTCGCGAAGTGATTCCTTCAGGGTAGCTTTGAACTGAGGTGTGCTGTTGATCCATATTCCTACGTTAATCCTCCCCCCTATTACTGACCCCGCAACAATGCGACATAAGGATGGCCCAAAATTGTAAGATGGCAGATAACTAGGGCTGCTACAAACGTAATTCACTCAACTTCACTGGGGCCACATACATGCGTGGAATGGTCCAGGACAGAGTAAACGTGGCTCTACATGACTTTTTATGCTTATGAGATTTCAATCATCTGGATTCTAGAAAAGTCCTCTCGTGCAATATCCCGTTAGAACAGCGCCAAAACCCAATATCATTCACTGACTGGAACTTTCCAGATGCGGCATCTTGGGCAGTTTCCTGCGGACAATTCTTGCATCTTGCACCGCTTCAGTTCTAGTCCAAAACCACGAATGAGCCGCATTCTAGTCTGCCATCGCCCGCTTGTTGGGCCTTATCCGAGCAGTTGGCTCGTGTAGCCATCCATGGTCCGGCCGAGAACGTGTTGTGGCGCTTGAGTTGACCCAGCGTGCCGGGTCCGCCATCACATTTGGTACATACGATTAGGGTGGTGTCTTTGTGCATTTTATGCTGCAAGTCCAAGCGTGTTCTTGCAGGATTCACTGATCGTCGATTGGATGCTACGATGCAGGGGTAGCGATACGAACGGGAACACCATCC